CACTGCATGTTACCTACACATCTGTACAACGTTCTGCCAGGAAATACCACTGTATGTTACCTACTTGGACATTCTCAAAGAATCCCATATACTTAATAAAATATATTGATTTGTTATCATCTTGCCTTTTGTTATGGAAAAATCTAAGCTCTTAAAAGAAATATGAAAAATGCTTATGAGAAAAAGATTACTTGATAAAATATTTACGGTACTAGAAACTTATCTTTATATACTAGCATGAAATAGTACTCAACTGTTTGTAAAAACTAAAATAATGTAGATGAGGGAAAGTTAATGGCTCAATCTTGTGAGGGTATATGGGTAGTCATGGCTACCATCCTTTCAAGATAATACATTCCAAGTCACATCCAGAGGACAATGTCCCAGGGGAATTTCATAAGAACAAACACACATGAGGAATAGGACAAGACAGGATCCTGGACTCTAAGCAGGAAGAAAATGTGGAATGTGGGGGGAAAAAAAAAAACAACAACACCTTTTCCAACTGGGCTACTGTTCAGATATTCATGAGAAATACTATGCTCTCCCAGAGTCAAAGAGAAACACAAGCAATCTCAAAACAATACAGCATAGATACTGGTGAACAGTTCACATCTGCAGAGATAGTAGGTGAAATACAGACCCAGATATGAAAAAAGAAATATTAGAGGACCCTATAGCAGCCATTGGCATTCCTGAAGAGTAAAATGCAAAACAACAACAAAATCTTTTAAACCATGGCAAAGCAGAGGCTGGGGAAATGGTTTAGTGGGTTAGGTTCTTGCTATAAGAGTGAGAGAATATGAATTCAAATCACCAGTTTCCGTATAAAAAATGGACGTATCTGCACATGCCTGTTATGTCCCGTGCTGGGGAAGTAGAGAGCAGAAGAATCTGGGAGCTCACTGACAAATCAGTCTATCTGAAATAGTGACTTTCAGATTTAATCAATGAAGAGGCCTTGTCTCAAAAGACAAAGTAGAGAGCAATAGAGAAAGACGCCTGATGTTTCCCTTTGGTCTCTGCATGCTTCTGACATCCAGACCAGTCTTTAGTTGACATTTAAACACCTCCACAAGAGACACCAAAGGGCGACAGGAGTTTAATAGAACCACAGGTGGCTGTAAGTAGATAGAACATCAAGGAGTCAGGAGATTCCCAGCCAGCCCAGGAAAGGGGCCTAAGAAGTCTGGACTGGACAGAACACTAAGCAGTGCAGAGCACATGGGCTCAGTGTTAGTTCTGCCTCTCCTGCTCATCTGCAAACTGGAAACAGTAACAACAGCTTAGTGTTTGGGCAATAAAAGTGATGTAAGCAAAGGACCTAATATGACTTGTAGCAGGCACCAATCAGTGTGAGGGATAGACACCATCACATAATCAAACACAACTGAGAGGGTCAGGAGAAGAGGAATCATTGAGGCTCAGAACTGAAGGTGACCATGCAGGGACCTGCTGGAGATCGGGGTGAAGGAGTACAGAAGGCAGATTTAACCAAGTGACCCCCCACTTACAGAAGCCCTGTTGTGACTTATAGGGAGTGTGTCCTGATACCAACAGAGCTCAGAGATATGACATTCATATATGCTGTTTTTACACTGAACTGTTAATGCACATACCGGTTTGGGGATGAAGTGGAAGTTTGATAAGGCATCCAATTTTAGGAAGAGAGAATCCATCATCTTCTGAATTTCTACATGCTCTGGATTATCTTCTTCTTCAGTTTTTTGCTAAGTGAGTAAGGTCAATATCAGATGAAGCAGTTTAGCAGTGTACCACAGATAAAACATCATAGGCAATGAGGGTGCTACTTTCTCAGAACCACAACTTTAACTATGAGCAACATTCCACTCTGATGTGGTGCACACTCCTTTAATTCCAGCACTTGAGGAGCAGAGGCAGGCAGATCTCTGAGTTTGGGGTCAAAGTTACATAGTGAGATCTTATTTCAAACAAAAATAAAAACAAAAAATCCCCAGCCAGGGACGACAGTAATTTCCAACACTCAGGGAGCTTGTTCAAGACCAGCTTGGGTTACACAGTGTTACTTTGTTTTTAAAAAGGAGAGGAGAAGAATGTACCAGAAGCAAAATTACAGGTATCAGCACCATAATGGTGTCAATGCCTCACAAAGACCACAAGGGGTGCACGTTTTAGTACCTGTCACCTGTGACAAGTACTGAAATCAGTTTAATTCCTTGGGTATTTTCTGCCAAGAGCTAAATTAGTCACAGTAGGATCATTAAACTTAAGAAAAATTAACAAATGTTGGTGAGGATGGGGAAATATGAACCCTGGGGATTACTGGCAGCAAAGTAAAATGAAGTAGCCACAACAGCAGCAAGCTAAGCAGTTCACAGGTTAAAGAGAGTTAGTATTTCCCTCCTAGATAAAATAAACCCAAGGACACTAAAGGAGATAAACATGCATGCACATGCACAGATACACGTGCACATCCAGAAGGTATATGGTTGCTATACCCAGAAGGCAGAACAGTCCACATACTCATCAACTGAAGAAAGACTAAAGAAACTGTGGCACATATACAAATGGAATATTATCCAGCAATAAAACAGAAATAAAGTGCTGATATATGCTGTCAACATAAAGACGTAATGCTAAATGAAAGTCACAAATTGTGTGACTTTATTAATACAAAATATCCAAAACAGGCAAATTCACAGAACCAGGGTGTAAGACAGCAGAGAAGGGAGGAACAGTACGCAGCAGATTGATGAGCAAGGGTCTAGGGAACTACAAAGAAAAACTACAGTTAAGTGCCTCTGAATTATTCACTTCCTTATTTTGTTTTTTCAAAACAGTATCTCACTATGTAGCACAGAACCAACTCAAAATATGATCATCCTTCTTATAAGTCTGCTGAGTCCTGGAACTTTAGGAGTGCCCCATCAGGTCTGAAAAACTGTGTCAAAAATGTTTTTTATGTTAAATGAATGTAATTTGTGCAAGATTTATTCAGATTAGTCACATTGATATGGAAATGACAGCTATTTAATTCTACAGAGTTAGGTAATTTTATATTTGGTCTTCCCCTAGCCCCAAATGTGCACTATGAAAGGCTAAAATGGTCTTTTGCTTGCTTGTTTTTGTCCTTCATAATTAAGACAAAGTAGCAGAAGGCAGTGGCGGGGGGGGGGGGGGACAGGAGTAAGAAGTTACTGGCTGTCTGTGGCTATGACCCAGGTCAGATGACATGTGTCATTAGCGCTCACTCCAATAAGACCAGTGTAGAGAAAAACGTCTTCCCAGGATATGACCTGGTCCTGCTGTTTATCTAGGTTAAATTTAAAATTTAAGAAAAATAAAACAAAACAAATAAAAATAGCTTAACGATCAAGATAATTTCATAAATATATAAAATACATCAATTACTCCAAGTATCAAAGAAGTAGGATTTTAGAATTACAATACCTTATATTAAGTGCTGGAAAATCAATAACTACTATACAAATTGATTACCAGCCCTCTTTGTAGAGCAAGCCTCAACTCCCTGGCACTCAGTGGAAAGAATTAGATTAGATCAGGGTTGACTGAAGGTGTGGTTCTTTAGTAGTCATAGCCCTGAGGGCCTTGGAGGTCACCTTACCTGGTTTAGTTTGATGTACTCCTGTTCATAAATCTCAGCAAGGCTCAGCTTACTCTTCTCATGGTCTAACGTCAGACGCTTTTTATATTCATACGCATCCTCTTTGGGTTTTTCTTTTCGTTCTACATCATCCCAAGCCTGAAATGCAAATATATTAATAAAATCTAAGATTTATTTCTATGCTCCATAAGAATTACAGCAAAGACATTAATTTTTAACTTCTGGGGTTGGGGACACAGCTCAGATGGTAGAGTGCTTGTCTTGTGTGCATTAAGCCTTGGTTTCAATTCTCAGCCTCATAGAAACAGTGCCCATAATACCAGCACTTTGAAGACTGAGGCAGGAGAATTAAACATTCAAGGTCATCTCAGGCTAGGTAATTAGTTCCAGGGCCACTTATGGGCACATGAAACCTTGTCTCAATAATTTTAAAAAGTGTTAAATTTAGCCCACACCTTAATCTTGGAACTTGAGAGGCAGAGGTAGGTAGATCTGTGAGTTCTAAACAAACTAGGGCTACACAGTGATATCCTGTCTCAAAACAAAAACAAAAAAAAGTGATTTTTTTTCTAAGTGGCAAATAATAAAGCATGATGAAGAGAGCAAAGAGAACATTAGTTCAAATATTCCTTCTGCCTTTATGCTAAAGTCAGTCTCCTCTTAGTTACCAACTTTAACTGCTTTGTAACCATTTGCTGGGAACCGAACCAAAGCCTCACATATTCCAAGCAAGAGTTCTACCAGAGCCACACCACCAGCCCTTAGATTTACGTTAGAGCCTTTTTGTTCAGCCCACCTTACTATGTGATTGAATTAACCTAGTTTTTCTACTCTGTCCCAGATTTTCAGATACTTTCATATAGTACTCTCCTGCTCTTGCTCCTGTACTGTAGATGTATTAAGGAAGTATCTCTAGTAGACTAGTCAGATACTTGTAATATAATGTCTGCTTTTTATTTTAAGCTGACAAAACCAGAACAACTCCCCCAAACTCTTTGCTGGGCCATTAACATCTGAAAAGATCCATCCTTGATTTATTACAGCAGATACTGTGCCCAGACGGAGGAAGGGTCATGGGTATGACCAAAGCAAGCCGGAAGCCTATCATCGCTGCAGTCGGCAGAATCATGCAGTGAGACTGCAGCTGATAAGGCAGAAGGCCGACCCACCAGAACGAATGCATTCAGATGGAGTCAAACCCAGTTAGCAAGGTGCTGGGCCCACCATAATTTGTTTATCGACTGATTCTCACAGTGGATCTCTTGTGAAGCTATGAGCACTCTCCCTTGGTGCAAGATTCAGCAAAAGATGGATTATTGGACACAACTCTTTCCCATGTACTGGTATATTGGGTCATGACCCCCACTCTGGGGATCTCCAGTGGGAAATTTAGTCACATAGTCAATAACCTTGGTTCCCACAGTCTAATCTTCACTTTGTTCCCTGGGATACATTAGAAGCCCCCTCCCTGCAACTATCTTCCATTTGGCAGGACACACAGTCAGAAAAGGAGTCTTTCATATAGATCACATTGGGACCTCCAAAGAGAGAGATGTCCAAGCTCAGAGAATTGCTGTTTGCTTGTATATATAAACTGCAAACTTTACAGAGTAGGAGACCAGCAAGAGAAGAATAAAGAAGCTGATGCAGAACAGTACATAGCGGAGAGTTCATTTTCTCCCTCAGATCTAAGTCCCATGCTTGCTGTGACTCTTCTTCTGAACCCTGAGGGGACACTGAGGCTGGCACTCAGAGGTCCCCAATACATCATAAGCCCTGTTACCCACCCAGTCAACAAGATTCAGAACAGATGATACGGACAATGGCTCTGGCCACTGTTCCCATCAGACACATTACTTTCTTAGGTATGAGCAAAGAGCTACGCCCTACAGAGAAGGTGAAAATACCTGCTTCTAGTCTCAGTGCTTAAAAGTCAAGAGGATCAAATAAAAATTAAGAAAGCATTATTTCTGAATAATACAGTGAGAATTAAATTAAAATCCACTCCATTCTTACTGACCTGATCTCGTATCCTCTGTTTAATGATATCTTCTAGATGGAGGGTGGTTTCCTCTGTGATTACAGGGGCTAAAAGAAACATAATGTGTTTGTTAGATAAAGACATATCAGACCAGGGATTCTCAAATACGTGCTGGACCTACAACATAAGTCGCACCTGGGAACTTACAAAACATCCAAACTCTTAGGCCAACCCTACACCTTCTAAATCAGACGTGGAGAATTTCTTATACTGTTCTGTTTATAGGCCTGCACCCTGTCACAGTTCACTGAGTTGTTCACAATTACACTGTAAACCTTGGCTATCTAATCAAATCCTTTTTAGCATCCATTAGTACCAAGCATGGTGTGATGGTGCCTCTAAGTTAAAGGCCAGTCTGGTCTACAGCATGAGTTTCAAGATGGTTAGAGCTATGGAGAAAATATCTGTTAATAAAAAGAACAAAGTTTAACTGCAGAACACCCTCCCTCCATTTCCCATCTCGTGTGTGTGATGGGGGAGGGTCATCTATCTATGTGTTACTTTCATTGGTTAATAAAGAAACTGCCTTGGCCCTTTGATAGGACAGAAAATTAGGTAGGCGGAGTAAACAGAACAGAATACTGGGAGGAAGAAGGCAATGAGGCAGTCGCCATTACTCTCCTCTCCGAGACAGCCGCAGGTTAGAATCCTCCTGGTAAACCACCACCTCGTGGTGCTACACAGATTATTAGAAATGGGTTAGATCAATATGTAAGAGTTAGCCAATAAGAGGCTGCAGATAATGGACCAGGCAGTGTTTAAAAGAATATAGTTTCCGTGTAATTATTTTGGGGTAAGCTAGCCGGGTGGGCGGCGGGAAGCAGCCCGCTGTTCCTTTTCCTGTATTCTGTCAATCATGTATTTTAATAAAACACTGATTGGCCAGGCAGGAAGTATAGGCGAAGCACATTCCTCCATTCCTGCCCAGACCACCAAAGAAGCAACATGTGAGCTGACAGTTGAAAAAGGTACCAAGCCATATGGCTAACACAGAGTAGAATTATGGGTTACTGTAAGATGTAAGAATTAGTTAATAAGAAGACTGAGCTAATGGGCCAATCAGTTTATAATCTTATGGAGTCTTGTGAGTGATTTTCTTTGGGTCTTGCCGGCTGTGGGGTGCCGGGTGAGACAGATACTCCAACAAGCCGGCCCCTCATTTTACGTGTGTGTGTGTGTGTGTGTGTGTGTGTGTTTGACACAGGATCTCATACAGCCCAGGCTAGCCTCAAACTTCCTAAATAACCTGAGAATGACTTTGAACTTCTGATGCTTCTGTCTGTACTGCTCAAGTGCTAAGATAGGCCACCATGCCTGGTTTCTGCAATTCAAGGAATCACATCCAGGAATTCAAGAATTCAAGTATTCTAGGCAAGCATTTCACCAATTGAGTCATATCTGTAACTTGAATGGATAGTAAATGACAACATTTTCATCCCAATGCCCTGGAATACCCTCCTTAGCAGTTAAATGCCAAATACGGGCAGCTTTCCTTCTGTGAGGTTAGATACATGTGCACACTGGCAAATGTGTCATTTGTAGGTCAGAGGTCAATGTTGGGTACCTTACTTAAATGCCCTCCACCTTAATTTTTGAGACAGCTATAGATATTAATTCCACCAGCAATCTCAGCAATCTCCAGCCATTCTCCCACCTCTGCCTCCTCAGGGCTAAGATTACAGGATCCCAACTTGGGTCCACATATTTGCACAGCAAGTACTTTACCAGCTGAGCCATTTCCCCAGCCCCTGACAACTACTTTCTAATGATGGGAGAGGGGCATTCACTAGAGACTTAAGGCAAAAACTGCAAACTGTTATCAACTGGTAAATTCAGTTAAAGGGCATATATATCCACTTTATTTTTCTGTATGGTTGCAAATTTTTAAAACAAAAAGCAGGGAGAAAACAAACATTATTCAAAATCTTTCAGGCGCCATACCCATCCTGACAGCATGGTCGAAGTGGAGCGTCTCTTCCAGCAGGCTGTTCTCTGGCCGCTTCTGCGCTGTCACTTCCCCTTGTAGCTGCCAGGGCTTTTTTTCCAACAACTCTTTTTCCAAAGATGCGATTTTCTCATTCATCTAGAAAATAAGACGGGTTATTTTGAAATGTGTACTTACTAATGTACCAAGCTCCGCAGAAGCATTGGATCTGTTTGTGGGCTCCGTTCTATTCAAACGATCTAAGTCTGCACAAGCCATTAGCGCGCTTAATTATCACAACATCCTAACATGAATTAGTCCGCAATATTCACTTTGATGGAGCCTGGCTCATCTCTGCCCTGTGACAGACCATTTTAGAGACACTAGCAGACTAGCAGGCTGTTTTATCTAGAGGCCTCTGTTTCCCCACTTCCCAGTGAGTCCAGGGTCCTTTGTAAGAAACAACGCTTTCACTTTAGCCTCCCTAGCTTTTGCTTTTGATACCACACTGACAAGTCTAATAGAGATAGCAGGTAACAGTGAGGATGCTAAGAGTGGACATTTTGTCTTGTTCTTGCTAAAGTGATGTTTCTAGAATCTGGCCAAAAACCCATGGTGACAGTTTTGGACTTGATATATTTGCAGCTCACCGAACAACAAAAAGGGATAAAATATGGTTAACTCTCCCCGACATCCCTGGAGCTGGCTGACCTTATACTGAGTTAAAAGCTCGAGGCCCACCCGACTGTGGCACTGCTCTCACCACACTGGTGTGGATTCATGCATCACAACCAAGAAAGAGGCGAAAGACGATGTGGATATTTACGTGTTGAGTCGGTTAGTCCTGTTTATACATTCTGCTTTACTTTTTATATATGGTTGTCAACCAAACATTATATTATTTACTTCTTGAAGGTTTGTATAATTCCTCAGTGAAACCACATATTTTTGGGGGGTGGGGTGAAGAGTGAGGTGGGAAAACATTAGGGTAGTAACTCATTACAAAGTTATTCTAGACTTTTCTATCTCTTCATGGTGACAACCCTGAACTTAATTCGAATTGTCTTTGAAAAATAATTCCTTAGGTAGTCTTGATATTCCATCTTCTGCTTGTTCTCATTTCAAGATGAGTAAGTGACAGAACCCAAGGACTATAACAAGCTAAAGTTACTAAAATGAAGTTGCATATCATCTGTCTAGCACTCACTTAAGAGACAAACGTCTCCAGCATCTGCAACAGCTAAAGGAGGTCACAGGATGACTAAGCAGAAGCGTACCTGACAGGAAAACAGGCACAGAGAAAAAGGTTTTACAAATCTGGTTCCAAATGAAGGCTACGGGCTAGGAAATAGAAGCACTAATTTATACAAATTAGAAGATGATTTTCATGTAATTTATACAAATTAGAAGTATATGCAGGATTTTCTTTCTTTCTTTCTTTTTTAATGAGAGAGGTTAGACTACATATCCCAAGCAGATCTAATGCTCACTATGTAGCTCAGGTTGTCCTTGAACTTGACACAATCCTCCTACTTCAGTCTCCCAAGTGATGGATTTCCAGGAATGCACAATACTTAGATTAGTATACATGATCTTTAGGGAGCAAGGCCTTTGCTTTTAAAAGAACAGGTTAGTTAATGAGGTTCCACCATGTTGAACATATAACAGAAGTCCGAGTAATTACCTTCTCCTGTCTCTTTTCAAAAGAGGATTTGACTTCATCAGAGTCTTGCTTTACAGCTAAGGGACTCGTATCTTCAGCCTCATCCTCTGGCAAAGCAAAGGTCACTCTTTTCAAGCCTTCTTTATGTTGCTCACTATCATCACCTTCTTCCAAGTCACTATCTTCATCCCTACAATACCAAGATGGTTATCAAGGAAGAAATACTACAAGCCAATAGGAATACAAAGATATTATTCCAATTATAAAGTACTTTTTAATACCTAGTGTCATTCAACATTCAGAACTTCCAGGGTCGTTAAGTCTCCTACGAACAAAAGGAATTCTAATTTTTTTAAATTTTAATTTATTCTTATTTTGTATGCATGACATGTGTGGGCAATGTGTGTACCAAAGTATACACAAGTCAAGAGGAAAACTTTGTGGGTTTAGGAGATCAAACTTAGGTCACCAGGCTTGCATGGCAAGTGCTTTTATCTACTAAGTCATCAACCACCTGGCCCAAAAAGAAGAGATTTTTTTTTCATTCATTCATTCATTCATTCAGCGATAGGGTCTATCTCTATGTAGCCCTGTCTTTGAACTCCCTTGATAGACAAGGCTAGCCTAAAACTCACAGAGATCCACCTGCCTCTGTCTCCCAAGTGCTGTGGTTAAAGGCGTGCACCACAACAAACCTGGTCAAGGAAGAGATCTTTAGGTAAAATGCTTGCTATGTAGAAACAGAATAGAAAGCACTAATACATCAAATACATAATTCATCAACCCATGATACAAAATGCTTATTCAAACATTAGGAGCTGGAAAGATGGTTAAGAACACTAGCTGCTCTTCCAGAGGATATGGGTTCGATTCCCAGCACCCACACATGGCTCACAACTGTCTGGTGGCTTGGAATCTCCAGCCTCAGGGGATCTGACACCATCTTCTGGCCTTTGCAGGCACCAAACACACAGTGAGCAGACATACAAGTAAACCAAAAAATCATACAGATAAAATAAACTTTAAAAAACCAATGTGCCAGGTGGCAGTGGCACACACCTTTAATTCCAGCACTAGGGAGGCAGAAGCAGGTGGATCTCTCAAGTTCTAGGCCAGACTGGTCTACAGAGTGAGTTCCAGACAGCCAGGGCTACACAGAGAAACTCTGTCTCAAAAAAAAAAAAAAAAAAAAAAACCAAAAAAAACCAACCCCCAAAAACCCATCACCCACCAAAACAAACAAACAAAACCCAATGTTTTACTGGCTCAAAACCTAACTGCCAGGTTCTTACTTATAACATTAAAGGCTGACTGCTCTGTTGGTGCAAATTCCCTTCTTTAAATAATTGCCAATATCCCTTGAAATCCAGACACATTTTTCTAGCTGTGTGATATATATTTAGAGTCTGACTTCTGTTATATACTTCACAACTCTGAGTACATATTTTACATCTATGACTGGACCACTCCACTTACAAACTAAGAAAGAGTTTGAAATGCTCACGTTTCTGAAAGGCTTTCCTCTGCATCCTCGGCAAATCCTTCCTCCTTGTTTGAACCCAGGTCATCACCAACAACACTGGCAATGTCATCATCACTTTCAACTGGATCGAAGAAATCTTTGTATTTCAGATTTCTGGAACTTTTATTTGACTAAAAGAAAGATTTTTGAAAAATTTAAAGATAGAAAATTGTAAAAAAAAAATACACATACAAATTGCTTTCTAACTTTAATATTACCCCAGCCAAAAAACAGCTACTAGGGAAACTAGCAACTAGTTAACTACCTTGAAGGACAACTGGAGCACAATATAATGAAAGAAAGAGCATACCTACTTAAAAACACGTAAAAAAGAGCACACTTTTCCATCTCAAAATTTCTAATTACCATTATTTAAAAAAACAAAAACCAAAAACCACCCTCCGAATAGATAATTGTTAAAAACTCCTCTCATTCCTATCTTCCTTTCTTATATTTAGTTGGGTGTGTGTGTGTGTATGAGTGTTTTTTGAGGCAGGGTCTGATCACTTAGCCCAGGGGCTCAGTGTCCCACTTACAATGTTCACACCCCGCACCACTGGCCCAGCTTTCATATTTATTTAATCTCTTCAATACTTCACTTGTGCTCAAAGGAATTGTGAGGCACATTAAATCTCTACTCAGGAAAACATGACATCTAACTTAAAAGTTTCTTTTCCTAAAACCTTACCTTAATCTTCTGATGTCCAAACAGACCTCCCTCATCTTCATCTGAATCAATGTCTTCAAAAAAGTCAATATCTTCCTCCTCCTCTTCGCCATCAGCTCTCCTTTCCTCTTGTTTTTCTACTTTTTCTAAAAAGTTTTCCATTTCAGACAGTTTGAAGAATTTATCATCCACTACAGACTTTTCTCTTGGTTTTCCGGATGGTTTGATTTGCATCTTGGTCTGCTGTTCCAGTTTGCTAATATCAAAGTCCAGGTCGGAATCCTCATCACTGAAAATGGGACTTTCCCTTGGGTTGGATCTGCTTTGGGCTCTCTCCCCCGCTGCAGGAACATCAGCACCCAAGTCTGACAGCTGCTCCTCCTCCACATCAGTCTCCAGGTCCTGGGCGTCAGCCTCCTCGCCCTCCTGGGCGTCACCCTCCTCACCCTCCTGGGCGTCACCCTCCTGGTTGTCACCCTCCTCACCCTCCTGGGCGTCACCCTCCTGGTCGTCTCCCTCTGGAAGAAGGCTGAGGTCTTCATCCTCGATTGTCTCACTAACTGCATTCTGGAAGTATTCTAAGACTGGTTCGTTTTGCAGTTCTAGTTGTTGCCAAATCTGCTCATCATCAAAACTGTTTATCTCAAGTTTCCGTAAAGGACTTCCAGAGATTCGGCCGTTCTCTAAGATTTTATTAAAATCATAGAGAACTTTTGTTAAAGAGGTGAAGTTTGATGCCAGTCCATTTTGAATCCTATCGGGAAGGGAATTAAGTGAGATTATACACAAAAATATCAAGCATTCTGAAATAAAAGCAAAAATAAAAAGCATACCTTATTTGCAGAATAAAATGTAAATGAAGCATCAATTTTAAGTCAAGACCCTCGGTCCCAACAGTGTGTATCTTGCTGATGAAGCAGAGTATCTGACTTGGCTGCACAGATTGTAGGCTGGACAATCACTACTCATCATCTATTTGCCTGGAGATACCTACTAAGTCAGCCTCAAATTCTTAAACCTGCCACCAGGTGGTAGTGGCACAGACCTTTAATCCCAGCACTCAGGAGGCAGAGGCAGAGGCAGAGGCAGAGGCAGAGGCAGGCAGGTCTCTCTGAGTTCCAGGATAGTCAAGATTACACAGAGAAGCCCATCTCCAAAAACAAAACAAAACAAAACAAATTCTCAAATCTGCTACATAACATAACACTTTTTATTACTCATTTGGCAAATGATTAGTATTTGGCTATAAATTTGGGGACATTTCTCTAAGGATATGACACCTGAAATGAGAGCTACAGACTGATACCAACAGGTGAAAGAGATTACATAGTAAAGGTCTGGAAACATGTATTCTGGTTATAAGAAACAGTTAGAAAAAATACTTTGAAAAAGATGAATTCAGGCAGTGTGAAGAACAGCAAGACCCAGACAGCTATAGTGTGATTAAGGAAGCAGAGTATGAGCCTGAGATTATGGATGCTGGGGGACCAGAACCCAAACCACGTCAGAGTCAGAGATAAGAACTTGTCACTTTAACACCGAAAGCTGAAAGCGGAAGGACAAAATGACAATTTGCTATTTGGAAAGAGAAATAATAATGGAAGATTTGTGAGAAGTTTAAGCAGCTTCCCAAAGGATGACAGAGATTGATGTTGGAGTCACAACAGTGAGCATGGCAATTAGGAATCAAAGTCTAAATATAATTAGATAGGATGCACAGGATGCTAATGAAGGGAATAAGAGTAAAATGACGACACCAAGGAAGTAGACTAGCTAACTAGGAATAAGTAAAATGATAGCATAGCCATTTACTGAGGCAGGAAAGGTAAGCCTAGTAGTGGGAATGGGGAAATGACTTCAGGAGAGAGAAGAGAATATGAGGAAGGGGAAGCTCTTTTTTGGACTCAGTGAATATGTGATGCTAAAGAGTATGGATTTGAAACAGAAACCTGAGTCATAATTTTATAGGCTTTAATCGAAGTGCTAGGAAGAAAGACAGAAGTCTACCCTAATTTTCAAACTCAGTAGTGAAAGTGCACAATTGACAAGCATTGTACAAGTACGTACTTTTCATAAAGCTTAGTGAGCGTCAAGCGGTGGGTATTTCGAGGACATACATTCAGAAGTGCAATCGGCACGGATTAAGGCAGCATGTGTCAAAAGTCTCTCTGGACGCTAATAAAGGAGCTTCGTTTTATTTTAGTAGCATACAGCTAGGAGATATTCACTGTACAGCTTTCACTGATAAAATTCCTACAGGCCAAGACAGCAAAAACTGTCTGAAATTGGGGTTAAGCGACCTGTACTTCCCTTCCTGTGTTTCAGAAGTTGCCGAACGCCTGCCCGCCAGGCATCCCTGCGATACGGGTCACCCTTCCAGGCCTGTATCTGCACTTACGTGAGGAAACGCTCGGGTCGGCTGGTGGCTTTCTTGACTTCCCTCAGACACCGTTCCAGGGTCTGGCGACGGGTCACGCGTGGCGCCATAGCTGTGAACTACAGCTCCACGCGAGGGCCGAGAGCAGCCGGAAGCCGTACGACAAACATGCGCCTTCCGCAACCATAAGCTCAAAGCCAAAGGTTCCGCGACGCATAGGTTCCGTCCCTAAACCCAGACGGTGGCTATAGCGATGAGCACCTTCTACTGGGCATGCGCGGAGGCGGGGCGGAAAACCGAAAAGATCTATTGGTCGTCTCAAGCGCCTTGGCTTTTTCTCCAAATGTCTTGTTCTGTATTTCCAAGAGAAGTACAAGTGATGTTGGTATGGTTGCTTTCTGTTTCTGCTTTCGATTCAATTAGTATTTTAATGGAACGGAAGAGCAGCTCGCTTCATGCAGCGCCCGCGCCTCATTTCCCCGCCCCCTGTAGCCGTCAGTCAAGCACCTTGTATTGTGGCCCCGCCCCTAGCCTCACGTCCCGCCCCCGTCCTGTTTCCCCGCCCACTTCGGCTTTAAACACGCCCCCCGCGCCCCAGTCCCCGCCTTCTGCCCGCTTTCCCTGTTCACTCTGCCCTACTAGGTCGCTGTGAAAGCGCGCTTCCTTCACAAGATGAGGCGCGTAGTGAAGGCCGCCGCGCTGGCTGCGAGCGCTACAGGTGAATACCGGGCACCGTCAGGGGCGCCGGGCGCGGGGAACGCTGCACGGGAGGCCGCGGGTGGCCGAGGTCTGAAACGCTGGACTTGCTGAACTGTGTTCCATTAGCGCAAGAGTTCTTTATTGTCCAGCTCTCTGCTATTGGGTTGCCCTTGGCAAACGTGGACCAGACAGGTAACCTGCCCAGGAGCACAGACAAGGCAGGGACAGCAGAAAATCAGGAAGGGACTCAAGAATTATGATATGCCCGCAATAAGAGACAGGAGAAAGCAACAAAGTGGCGAGTCCTGAAAAGTCTCTCTTGAATTCAAGCATGTTTTATGCACTTACCTACCCGTTTTTCATCTGACGTAAAGAGTAAAGGAACATTCGAAAGGACTGTTAAGTTCTCTGAGTTCTTTTGATCTACGTCTCATAGATAAGCAGAATTACGATGACAGATGGCCAAGTTTTCTTACTTTCTCCTCTTTCGTTTTCTTTTTTTCCTTCCTGGTGACAGTTACTACCCTCAGTCTGACATTTTCTGTTTGGAAGAAAATATAAGGCAGTGTTGTTCCAGAGTTACTCCGTTACATTTGTGACAAGCCCTTTAGCTGGCATGTTCAAAAGGTGTTCAGAGGAGTGAACTTTTGTTAATATACTTCCCGCCTGGAAAGTTCTGTCTGCTCATCTGATGAAACCTACACTACTCGTCATCTTTCAAAGTCGGCTCTCAAACTAAATTTGTTTCTTGTTTTGTTTTTTGGTTCTCTAGGCTTTCAGGCCAATCAAAAAATTACTTATCTGTCCTAGCAAGCCCCCAAGGCAGAGAGATGAGCCACAGACAAAAGAAAAAACAAGTGTACCTTAATACATTAGCTGCCTTATAATCAGTTTAGTATGGTGACACACGCACACACATGTGCATGTGCGTGCGTACACACACACGTAAGAGAGCATATTGTATCAGAAGATAGAGCATAGCACAATAGTTTTTTATTTTGTCTTTTTTGCTGTGTAACTCTGGCTGTCCTGAAACTTGCTCTGTAGGCCAGCCTGGCCTGGAACCACAAAGATCTTGAACTCACAAAGATCTGCCTGCCTCTGCCTCCTGAGTGCTGGGATTAAAGGCATGTGCTACCACTGCCTGGTTTGACAGAGCAAAATGTTAAAAATGAGTTTCTGATTCAACTAATGCTGATGTTTTGTTAATACTTCTGCTTGGTAAGGTTTCTGTATGCCTGGTCGAATATAAATCACCATCTTAGCATGCCATATGTTGTTTTTTGCAAATATCTATTAAGGCAGAATCACATATTCTGTCATAGCAAGTTCTCTCTTAGAAAATAGGCATTGCTTATCAGACATAGACTAGTGATATTAAAAATGAGGATCTGGCCGGGTGGTCGTGGCACACGCCTTTAATCCCAGCACTTGGGAGGCAGAGGCAGGCAGATCTTTGTGTGTTCAAGACCAGCCTGGTCTACAAGAGCTAGTTCCAGGACAGGCTCCAAAGCTACAGAGAAACCCTGTCTTGAAAAAACAGCAACAACAAAAATGAGGATCTGGACTGAGATAGTAGCTCAGTTCCTAGAGTGTTTTCTTAATTTGCACAAAGCCTCGGCTCAGTCTTCATTCCCACATAAACTAGCATGGTGGTGCATGCCTGTAAAATGGAGATAGAAGAACCAGAAGCTCGGGTTCATCCTCAGCTACTGTGCTTGTCTGAATGTAATTGACCTCTATAATCTCATAGGATGAGGAGGTGTAGCTTGTTGGAGTGGGTATGGCCTTGTTAGAGGAAGTGTGCCACTGTGGGGGAGGGCTTTGAGGCTTCCTTTGCTCAGGATTCCACTCAGTGTATCAGTCTACTTCCTGTTGCCTGCAAGATGTAGGACTCTCAGCTACTCCCCCAGCACCATGTCTGCCTGCCTTCTGCCATGCTCCCCGCCATGGTGATAATGGACTGAACCTCTGAAGCTATAAGTGAGCCCCCACAATGAAATGTTTTCTTTATAAGACCTGCTGTGGTCATGGTATCTTTTCACAGCAATAGAAACCTAACTAAGATAGCTACATACTCAGTTTGAGGACAACCTAAGATACATGTGAAGGGAACTCTCACCCACACAGTGGGGGCTCCCTTCCAGACCCCAGATTAGGCACAAACAACACCCAAGCCCCAGTTTTAACCGGGATCGTTTATTAAGCAGGAAGAAAAGTTAGAGACTGCTTTCTGCCTCAGGCAGAAAAACAGTGTCAAATGGTCTTCCAGGTGTCCTTCTTAAGAAGAGAAAAGGGGAGATCTGTGTTAGAATAGGCTAGGGTGTGGTGGTAACGGAGACAGAGGAGGAGGGTGAAGAGAAGGGGACAAGGGAAAGGGGCAAAGATATTGGACTGACTCTGAATGGAGAGGGGACAGATGTAGCACATAGGCAAATGGTGGTTTATAAAAGGGGGAAACCCCATGTTAGGATGAGGTGTTTCATTTTATCTGGGCATTTATTTAGGTGAGCCAAAGGGGGCTTCTGATTCCTGGACTTTGGTAGTCAGCCTTAGGAGGCAGATGTAGCCAGATAAGGGAACAGACCTTGGTGGCTAGCTTTAGGAATGTAATCTAACAATTTTTAGCAAGGCGGAGAGGATGGGATGAAGGGCAAGGTCTGGCAGAGCCACATGCTCGAGTGGGCAAGTGTCCCCTCATCTGTACCTTTTTATTTATTAAATGACTGGGTATTGGGTAAGTGGGCGTTGTTTGCTCTGTTGCTTCCTGCTGACATTGGGGCATTGTTCAGTGAAGCTGGTTTGTTGGTCGAGGCAGGGAAGAACAGGCTGTGTCAGTTGATGTCCAGGTTCTGCAGGACCATCTGAGGCTAGGGAAGTGTCGTCTATGAGACCGGACCAGGATATGGAGTCTAAGGAGACAGCTGGACCGGCACTGGAGTTGCTGGAGCAGTCTGTAGTCGACTTGAAATCTGCTGGGACAGATAGACCAGGGATAGAGGTGACGTTAGGAGTTCAGAAAACAACGTTTCGTTTGAATGTGCATTTGACACTTTTTAGGTTCATGGTCCTGGCAGTTGGGAAGAGGAGTCCCAAGACCAGGGAAAGGGGAAGAGATCCCACCCTTAGGAATAGGCAATAGCCAGGAAAACTTGGGCTGTTGGTTTCAGAGAAAACTGACCCTTCTTTCTCTTGCCAGCTGTCAGTTGCCAATAGCTCCTCAGCGGGAGGTGGAACTTCATGCCTACCTCTCTTTCTGTGTTGGGATTTTGTCTGGATTGAATTTTTTGCAGGTCCTTGGCATGATGTCATAACTGCTCTGAATTCATGTGTGAGGCTGTATACTGCTGTATTCCTTATAGTCATCCACGGCTTCTGGGTCTACACTCTTTCTGCCCCTCTTCCACAGTAATCCTTGAGTTTGGGGGGAGGGGATAGGATGTGTGTGTGTGTGTGTGTGTGTGTGTGTGTGTGTGTGTGCGTGTTCCATTTAGGACTGAGCTACCTCCTATTTTCTGTACCTTGATCGGTTGCAAGTCAAGTCTCTATGTTAATTACCATCTACTGAAATAGAAGTTTCTCTGATGAAGGTTGAGAGATGCACTAATCTATGGATATAATGTTAAGTAATTGAAAGTCAGTTTAGTATTATTCCCATTTATTTAGCCGAGTGATCGTCCTATCTAGCCATAGTTTCATTCATTAATAGTGGTGTCAGGTATGGTCCCAACTTGTGAAATGGGCCTTTAGATCCAATCACAAAGTTGTTGGTTATTCTCGTGACATTTGTACCACTATTGCACACTGGGCATGTCTTGTCAGGCTGGCGATTGCAGCTGTCATGGTTCACAATTAGGTAAGACTGATGACTACATTACTCCTCCAGTAGTGAGCATAGCCCTACAGCATGTGAGAGATAGCTAGCCATGATGAGACTTCCAGTGAGCTTTGTTTTTCCATGTTCTGTGACTTAAGTATGTGGTGTCATCAGCAATAAGGGGTTCTGGAGGGTAACCAAGAGCGTTGGCGATAGTTTGGGGACTCTATGGTATCCATTGGGCCAATTACTTCAAAAGAGCTAACCCATTCTTGGCAGTAGGCACTGGGCTTTTTATCTGTTATCCTGTGTGTCATATAGAGGTGTTGTTGCCCCATTATAGAGTAACTCCTTTTAAGTGGTGTGTGTGTGTGTGTGTGTGTGTGTGTGTGTGTGTGTGTGTGTGTAATAGTATATAGCATGGAGGGGGACTGGTTAACAGATTGCTGAAAGATAGATTTATTTTTTAATTTCCTTTTCTATATTATAAGAAAAGAAATTCACAAGTGAAGAAATGGTCTTGAGCAGTATACATGAATCAGAGGGGTTTGATTTGTTGTGATATAGGAGACCAAACTCAGATCTTTGTGCATGCTCAGCAGTGTTCCTCCATTGAGCCATACACCCCCCGTCAAAGCTGGAAGTGTATGTGTGTGTGTGC